AGGCGGGCTGAGTTTAAGGGATTATGTGGCCGGCAAATGCGCGAAACGTTAAATTTTATGTCAGATTTAACCTCGAATTGCTATAGCCAAACCTCAAATAGGGAATCAATTTTATAGAGAAAGAACTTAGATAGAGATTTATCTTTTATCGTAAGAATCTCAGGTATTATAGCCTTGTGGCTTGAGCACATTTACCTCGTAAACACCATTTAAAGAAATTTAGAGCATGTTTCCCATTCTTCTTATTTATAAAATCTAGTGAGAGACCATCAGTGCCAAATGGAACACAATTTTATAAAAAAATATTAAAATAAATTAAATCTGAGTCCTAGTCAAAAATGAAGCCCAATTGTTCCATATCCTTTTGGACATTGTTCGAAGAACACTGCTCCTTCAACATATTCAGCCAGAGCGTATAAGAGTAATCCTCGTGCAGGCCACCGTAGCTATTAAAGGAGTACAATTTTTTGGCTTGTAAGTCACAGGATACTCGAAGACTTACCGCTTGGGAAGATGCTCCGGATTTATGTAGTTGTGTAGGGAACTCATATCACTTCCATGAATATACAGTTTTTCGCGCATGGCAGCATTGAGGAAAGGCTTAAATATCTTAAAAGCTGCATTAAAAACCCAATTCTGGTTCACAATATGAAGTGCGGATGTACGAATGGGCATGGAGGTCTACAAAAAAGTCTTAATGAAATAAAAACAGTTTTATATGAAAGTTTGAATTATTACCACAAGAAGTGCAATCATTTTCTGGGCCACGCTGGGACTCAAATGAAGTAAGTGCTCAAAGCCCAAATCTTTAAGATCGAATATTCCAACACCACCCACAATCTGAGAGATCGGTTCCAAGCTGCCAAGCTCTTGAAGAATAATTGTAGCCCGAAAAATATCATCGACAGTCACTTGATTGGGTCGCCACAACCCGAACCGGTAAATGAGTATCCTGTGGCCATGTTGATCTCGATAAGGCGTCACTGTCAAGATGTCTGATTCTCCAACATGGCGTAAGTCCAAAGGGCGAACCTTTTCGTAGTAGTTTTTATTTTGTTGCCGGAACTTGTAGTAGCTACATAGCTTTAAAAAATTGATAAAGTATATTTTTGTTAAAGTTCTTTTGTTTTTCTTAAATAAACATTCTTACTAATTTATAGCTATTCTCAATTTTCCAGTATCGTGCTCTCAGAAACTTTTCCAGATATTTGTCGTCGTTGCGATGGGGCTGGCACTCATTTCGTTCTAAGGGGTTTTTAAGTTTAAGGGGTTTTCCGTAAATATTTAAAACTTTTAGCTTGGATAACCCACCTAAAATATAGCTGCGGAATTGTTCAATGGTCTGGACCTTAGTACTCTGGCACTCGCCCTGCTCCTGTGCCAGACTGCGGATGTGCTCCGGGACCTCGTCCTCGGTGACGTTTAACTTGTGCTCTATAGCGGGCATAGTGCGCGGATTACTGCTGATGTTCGTCTGAATAAAACAAAGTAAAGCATTTAAAATTATTTAAGCACACTCGCACAATTTTCTCAGGGGTTTTCACACAACGGGTAATTATTCAAAATTAATAGAGTTTCCATATACGGGACTGCGTTTATAACCGTATGCGACCTCACGTGCCTCATTGTTAGCCACTACTCAACTTTGACATTGCAATTTTTACACTGTATATTATTAATATTAATATTAATATTAATATTAATATTAATATTAATATTTGTTCTCTTTTAATGGTCTTATAGAGGTGCTCGATTTTTTGTTTACCATTTGATGAGCTGCGATCCGATCGGATTCAAGTCTGAAACTGAGTCCCCGGACGGAATGAGGCCAAATGTTCCCAGTCCCATGCAAAATGTTGTTTGTCGTTACACATGTATGGGACCATTAAATATTAAGTAGAAATCGAACAACAATGGACAGGACAGAGTTTTGCGATAGCGGGAGGGAGACAGCTAATCAACCGATAACGATGTATGACAAAAATTCAGTTACTTTCTGATAAAAAATTCAATTTGAATAAAAATAAATTTCATTATTATTTAAATTTCATTTTATTTATTTCATTTTTTTTTTTTTTATGTATACAAATTTTGATTTTTGTCTGATTGTCTAGATACCACTCTATTTTATAAATACGTGTTTAAAACCCCTTTGAAAAAGTTTTAGGGTATTCATAAATAATTGTATTCTAGCTTAAAAATCGTAATTTATAAATCTTTATAAAAAATAACTTTACAAATATAAGTATAAAGTATAATTAACAGAATAAATGAAGAAACTATTTTTGATTCCTACTGTAATTGTTTGCTTCCGTATCATCATCCCCATCCCAACATTGTTCGAGTCACAGACCCAGCCTCGCCCTCGTCTGATCCCCGCAAACGAAACGATTGCGTCGTACCGGCCCCGGGTCGCTGATAAGCGGGCGAAGCAAATCGTCAATTCCTAATCAGGTTGCTTGGGGTTCGGCGTTGCAGTGTTGCGAATCCAACACGTACTCCGCAGATTACGATGATGACACCCCGATTTCAAAGTGCAGCACACTAAATATACAACACGTGGGTAGATGTGCAAAGTGCCTGGGTCAATATTTAATCATATTTACAAATTCCGTCTTACAATAATGTTTTCACGCTTTTCTGGGGGGTGTAGCCGATATTTTCTAGCGATACAACATTAAAGTGTCGACTCGCCCACCCTTTGCCTGTCTCTTCTCGGGTTCAAATGTTAATGAACCCCCTCGACACAATTCTCCCCCACATAAGCGAAAATAATTTGTAGAATTACTATCTCAATTAATGTGATAAATAATATGCAATTATTTGTGAACCCCATCCGTCGGGCAACACCTGATTTATCACCCCATTAGTTCGGGGTCTCCACTTACATTACCAGGTAATATGTCGAACCGAGTTGTGGTTGTTTTTTCTGATCCGAGATTACCGGCTATCACGCTTATTTAGCTTATGGCCCGACGCGTAATCCAAGTCAACAACGATCGCTTTCAGCTGGCACAAGTGGCATCGCAGAAGTTTGCACTAAAACTGAGCCTCAGATACTTTAGAACAAAGCAATTTATGCGCCCCAAGCTCAGGCCAGAACTCTCAATGGATATTTCCGAGCTATAATAACTAGAAACCAGTACGGGGAAAATGAGTAACCAGCATCACTGAGCAGTTTTTTACCCGGTACTTCTAGAAAAAGAGGGTATATTATTTTTTTGTAAATCATGTAACAGTTAGAACCATTTTTTTTATCACCATCAACAGTCGTTTGAATCAATGATTCTAGGAGAAAATTAGACGTAAAGCTAAAATTTTTTGGATTTAGAATTTAATAGTACATTCTCAGATCCAGATCCAGGCTTTAATTTTTTCGACTGCACTTCAGTCCCCAAAAAAAATCTTTCTTACCAAAATTTTGCCGAAACCCGGATCCATAAAAGAATGCAATTCTAGTAGAATACCGCCAAAGAGTTAGAAGAGTTACGGGTATCACATCCATTCCTGCTTTAGTCATCTGTACAAAACAGTAAAAAGATATTGTATTTTTAATTATAATTTTAATAAATAAAACAATAGGTTATAATTAAGCCAGAATTTCTTTCATTTTAATTCTAGACAATCTCTAAACTTAGGGTTAAGTGAAGCCAACGTTCACAGGCATTCATTTACAGAACAGGGTACAACTTTAGAAAAAAGAGAGATGTTTGTCGAACGAAAAATTATTTGTACTGTGGATGCGGGATAACACTCTAAACGTGATCTGCTGATGGACAAGTTCAATGAGCCCTGTGACGTCAGACCATGAAGGGTATACTTGCCCCTACGCTCTAAATGCGTAAATCCAGAATGTTCCTTGAGTAGTTTTTGCAACAATAAAAGACTTGTTTTTCTTTAGCGAGATAATTGTAAGAGGAGAGTGTGGATGAGGGGCCTGCCCATTATGACATCTTGTTGAGCAAGGTCAGGCTGCTGTTCTCAGCAAAACCTAAACCTGTTCACGTTAGTCATGGATAAAATAAACTGATAATGGCTCATATTACCAGGTGGTTAATTGAAAAGCAATTTGCAGCTATATTATTTATATTATAATTTACATATTAATCTTTCCTCATTGCTTTAAAAATATTATGCGCCTCTTATAGAATACCGAAAAAAAGAGAAAGTATTTTCCAACTACAAACCCGTCTCAGCCAGTTTTAAAAATCCATTGTATTTTTAGAAACTGTACGAATAATAAAAATAATTTTCAAATCAAACTGCTTTACATCTGTGTTTAGTAGTCACTTCGATATCTGGCAGCGCTGTAAGAATGTAGAAAGATCGCAGAGATTGTTGGATTTTGTTATTGTCTTTGTCGTTTTTTTTCTTTAATTTTTACATAGTGTTTAAATTGTTATTTTTTTAACATCAGTTTAAACTGTAAAGTTAAAAACTTTCCCACTGACTGGGCTGCCTAGCTTTAAGAGTCGATTCTGCGACGTCTGTTGAAACCTTTCCAACTGACTGGGCTGCTGAGCTTTAAGAGTCGATTCTTCTGCGTAAAAGATGTAATGATAGCTATAAAATAATCTAGTAAAAATCAAAAATAAATACAGGAAATTAAAATTTGCGCCAACTATCTGGATTTAAAATTTATTTTAAATCGAAATTCAAATTTGGTATTTTTCCCGCTTAATTCTGACGTTTTTCAATTCTGGTCGAATTTTGTAAAAACATGTATGTAACAGAATTTATTTGAATTAAATTTTCAAACTGAACTTTAAATATATATTTAGGGTAAATATTTAATATTTTAATCATTTGGCAAACGTGAATCTTAATCTGTATATGTGGACATTTTAAAATATTGCTTCAAGCCAAACAATATGTAGTAGTAAAATGTAGAAAAACATCTCATTTTCGATACACATAAATATATCTTTTTTTTGTTGAATATCGATATATTACAATATTGTACCCTATATTCTGTCGATATTTCGATTTATTCCCTACTGGTCACTCTAATCGTCTGCTTTTTTTTGTTGTCGGCTTGCTAATCCTCGGGTGAAGAATATAAATGTTTCAATATAGTAACTTGGTGTAATCGCTAAACAGTTTTGTGAGAAATCGGCCAGACGCAGGTACTTAGTGAAAAGCGTGGTGCGTCGACTCATATATCGCCTGCGAATTTCGTCTTTGCCGCCCTTCGTTTGTCGGCGGCACCCAAGGAACGCGACTGAAAAAATCGTGCAACTTTTAAATCAGGTAAATAAACTCAATAAACAAAAATCCACATGGAGTGAAAATTATCCGATTCCCATGTCGGTCAGTTCTCCAGTACCCAACACCTCGTTTCCGCAAGCGTCGTTCGTTGCAAATTAAAAATGGCGCTGCCGGTATAGAGACGCATTGCTGGATTAAGCCAAAGAATATTATTACGCGTCCCCGTAGGCCAGACCTAAGAAGGAACCCGGTCTAGTCCAAAAGGTATAATTGAGAAAATGTCAATGGTTCTGTTTAATTAGGGCCGATACTACCGGAAAATTATAACGCGGCACACACACACACCCATGCTCAAGCGCACACAGACACAAAAGCCGGTCGAAAATGCCGCGAAAGTAGGGGTGTCGTGAAGCAAGGCCATCTATTTAGGGGTACAGTAACAACATGCAAAATATAAGTTTAAAGTTTAAAATTTATTTTTTAGCTACATATACATATGTACAATATGTACATATGTGCATTAATAGCGTTTAGATTTTTCAGGCGTCTGCAAAATTCAAATCAATGCGCGCGCGCGCGTCTTTTTTTTATACGTACTGTACTGTAAACAGTAGTCATTCGATAAGGATAACTTTTAAGGAAAATAATTTGATATTTTTTTGTAAGAGACGAGCAACAAATATTTTATTATCAAAAAAAGGATAAAATTATTATATTAAGCATCAAAAGAAATCTTTTTTGAGGGATTACTACTGTAACATAATAACCAAAAAAGAGGTAAATAATAGACGTGAAAAGACTCGTGAAATCCACTAGTGATTAATAGAACGCCGGAGGTTATGGCTTGGTCTCGATTTCGGAGCATAGACTTACATTTTTTATTCTTTTAGTTCCAGCAAAGGCTCAAGAGCTGCGGCAGCATCATGGAGAACGGCAACAAGGCAATGTCCATCGAACAGATGTACCAGAAAAAGTCGCAGCTGGAACATATCCTGCTGCGGCCGGACTCGTACATCGGGTCTGTGGAGTACACCAAGGAGCTGATGTGGGTGTACGATTTTGAGAAGAGTCGAATGGTGCAGAGAGAGCTCTCTTTCGTGCCGGGTCTGTACAAGATCTACGACGAGATTCTGGTCAATGCTGCCGACAATAAGCAACGCGACAAATCCATGAATACCATTAAGATCGACATTGATCCGGAGCGTAATGTAGTCTCCATCTGGAATAATGGCCAGGGTATTCCTGTAACTATGCACAAGGAGCAGAAAATGTACGTGCCAACGATGATTTTCGGGCATCTGCTGACCTCTTCAAATTACAACGACGATGAGAAGAAGGTCACTGGCGGCCGAAACGGCTACGGTGCGAAGCTCTGCAACATATTTTCCACCAGCTTCACTGTGGAAACAGCCACGAAGCAGTACAAGAAGAGCTTCAAGCAAACCTGGGGTAACAACATGTCAAAGGCCTCCGAGGCAGCGGTAAGTGTTGGTAAAATCATATTCGTAGAACGAGTGATTTATCTTTTTCGAACCAACAGATTAAGGACTTCAATGGCAGCGACTTCACACGCATTACATTCAGCCCCGATTTAGCCAAGTTCAAGATGGACCGTCTGGACGAAGATATTGTGGCTTTAATGTCTCGCCGCGCCTTCGACGTAGCAGCTTCTACTAAAGGTGTTGCTGTGTACCTCAATGGCAATAAGCTGACGGTCAAGAATTTCAAAGACTACATCGATCTACACGTTAAGAATCAGGATGACGATGCTGGACAGCCCATCAAGATCGTCCACGAAGTGGCCAACGAGCGCTGGGAGATAGCCTGCTGCCCATCCGATCGCGGGTTCCAGCAGGTCTCATTCGTCAACTCGATTGCCACTACCAAGGGGGGTCGGCATGTGGATCACGTTGTAGACAATGTTATTAAGCAGCTTATCGAGGTCTTGAAGAAGAAAAACAAAGGTGCGTAGATGATCTCCAAGTGTGGTATTTTTGAATTCTAATAGTATATTTATGAATTTCTTATAATTTCTACAGGCGGCATTAACATCAAGCCATTCCAAGTGCGTAACCATCTTTGGATCTTCGTCAATTGTCTGATTGAGAACCCAACATTCGACTCTCAGACTAAGGAAAACATGACGCTGCAAGCGAAGAGCTTTGGTTCCAAATGCACTCTCTCCGAAAAGTTTATCACCGGCATGTCCAAGTCTGGTATTGTTGAGTCGGTCTTGGCGTGGGCCAAATTCAAGGCGCAGAACGACATTGCCAAGACAGGAGGGCGGAAATCAAGCAAAATCAAGGGCATACCCAAGCTGGAGGACGCCAACGAAGCTGGTGGCAAGAACTCGATTAACTGCACTCTCATCTTAACGGAGGGAGACTCGGCCAAATCCTTAGCTGTCTCAGGCCTCGGTGTGATCGGTCGAAATTTCTACGGAGTGTTTCCGCTTAGGGGAAAGCTGCTGAACGTGCGTGAGGCAAACTTTAAGCAGCTCTCCGAGAACGCAGAAATAAACAATCTGTGCAAGATTATCGGGTTGCAGTATAAGAAGAAATACCTAACCGAGGACGATTTGAAGACATTGCGGTACGGCAAGGTAATGATTATGACTGATCAGGATCAAGACGGATCTCACATCAAGGGTCTGTTGATCAACTTTATCCACACCAACTGGCCGGAGCTACTGCGTCTCCCTTTCCTTGAAGAATTTATTACGCCGATCGTCAAGGCTACCAAAAAGAACGAGGAAATCTCGTTCTATTCGCTGCCGGAGTTTGAAGAGTGGAAAATAGATACGCCCAATCACCATACGTACAATATCAAGTACTATAAGGGTTTGGGTACTTCGACCTCCAAGGAGGCAAAGGAGTACTTCCAAGACATGGAGCGCCATCGCATCCTTTTCAAATACGATGGCTCTGTGGACGACGAAAGCATCGTGATGGCCTTTTCGAAGAAGCACATTGAGTCTCGAAAAGTGTGGCTTACCAACCACATGGACGAGGTTAAACGGCGCAAGGAGCTGGGGCTTCCCGAGCGATATCTCTATACCAAAGGCACCAAACACATCACCTACGCGGACTTCATTAACCTGGAGTTGGTTCTCTTCTCTAACGCCGATAACGAGCGCTCCATTCCCAGTCTTGTGGATGGCCTGAAGCCCGGCCAGCGCAAGGTCATGTTCACCTGCTTCAAGAGAAACGATAAGCGAGAAGTGAAGGTAGCCCAGTTGTCCGGCTCAGTGGCCGAGATGTCGGCCTATCACCACGGAGAGGTCTCACTGCAGATGACTATCGTGAATTTGGCACAAAACTATGTGGGCTCCAACAACATTAATCTGCTTGAGCCACGAGGTCAGTTCGGTACTCGCTTGACGGGAGGCAAGGATTGCGCTAGTGCTCGTTACATTTTCACCCTGATGTCCCCACTGACCAGATTGATTTACCATCCTCTTGATGATCCGCTGCTCCAGTACCAAACCGATGACGGGCAGAAGATTGAGCCGTTGTGGTATCTTCCTATTATTCCCATGGTTCTGGTAAACGGTGCCGAGGGTATAGGCACTGGTTGGGCTACTAAGATAGCCAATCACAACCCCCGCGAGATAATGCAGAACTTGAGGCGACTGATAAACAGCGAAGAACCGAAGCTGATGCATCCATGGTACAAGAATTTCACTGGTCGGATGGAGTATGTCTCGGATGGTCGCTACGTGCACTCTGGCAACATCCAAATCCTACCCGGCGATCGAGTAGAGATCACTGAGTTGCCTGTTGGTGTGTGGACACAGAACTATAAGGAGAACGTATTGGAGCCGCTTGCCAACGGCACAGAGAAGGTAAAGGCCGTGGTATCAGAGTATAGGGAGTACCACACAGATACCACAGTGAGATTCGTGGTCAGCTTCGCTCCCGGCGAGTTCAACCGCATTAGATCCGAGGAAGGAGGATTCCATCGCGTGTTCAAGCTGACCTCTTCGCTCTCCACCAACCAGATGCACGCGTTCGACCAAAACAACTGCCTACGTCGCTTCCCATCAACATTGGATGTTCTAAGGGAGTTCTACAAGCTCCGGCTAGAGTACTACTGCCGTCGGAAAGACTATTTGGTCGGACAACTGACAGCGCAGGCCGATCGACTGAGCGACCAAGCCCGTTTCATTCTCGAGAAGTGCGAGAAGACCCTTGTGGTTGAGAACAAGCAAAGGAAGGCCATGTGCGATGAGCTGGTTAAGCGTGGCTATCGGCCCGATCCTGTCAAGGAGTGGCAGCGCCGTATCAAGTTGGAGGATGCCGAGCAAGACAACGACGATGAAGATGAAGAAGCTGAAGAGGCAGCTCCCAGTGCCAGCTCGAAGGTCAAAAAGGAAAAGGATGTGGATCCGGAAAAAGCGTTCAAGAAGCTAACTGATGTAAAGAAGTTCGACTATTTGCTGGGCATGTCCATGTGGATGTTGACCGAGGAGAAGAAGAACGAGTTGTTGAAACAACGCGACGCCAAGCTGGCAGAACTGGAGAATCTTCAAAAAAAGACTCCCGAGCTTCTTTGGTTAGACGATTTGGACGCCTTGGAGCAGAAGCTGAACGAGGTGGAGGAAAAGGAAAGACTCGAAGAGATGGGTATTAACCTCAAAACGGCCAAGTCGCTGAAGAGCCAAAAGGGCGCCACCACAGCTAAGGGGCGTAAAGTAAAAGGATCGGCAGCTCCAGGCGCTGGCGATGTATTCCCCGATCCCGAAGGCGAGCGGGTTGAGTTTAAGGTTACCGAAGAAATTGTCAAGAAGATGGCTGCTGCGACGAAGTTGGCGGTAGCCAAAAAGGAGCCAAAGGAACCCAAAGTTAAAAAGGAGCCCAAAGGGAAGGCCGGTATTAAGGCGGAGCCCGACGCCGAAGAGGTGGATGAATTCGATGCCCTTGTGGAGGGAGGCTCCAAAACTTCCCCCAAAGTCAAGAAGGAAGTGGTCAAGAAGGAACCAGCAGAGAAGAAGCCTCGCCAGAAAAAGGAGAACGGCGGTGCCCTCAAGCAGGCAAAACTTGACTTTAGCAAATCCAAGGTAAGTGACGATTTTGAAAAAAGCCATCCAACAATTTCACATGTACCCTTTTTCAGGCCAAGAAAACCAATACCCCCCCGGATGCAAGCGACGATGAGGTTGCGCCACGTGCAGAGCGTCCTGGACGTCGAGCGGCCAGCAAGAAGATCGATTATAGCTCACTGTTCTCAGATGAAGAAGGTGGCGGCAACGTGGGATCCGACAATGGAGAAAACAGCGATGCTGCTGATGACGGCGATGCTAATGAGAGCGAGTCCACCCCCATCAAGCCCCCATCAACTAAAAAGCGGGTTAGGGAAGACGACAGTAGCGGAGGGCCCAAAAAGAAGGCTGCGCCCAAAAAGCGACGTGCCGTCATCGAGAGCGATGAGGATTCCGATGTTGCATTCGTCGATGATGATGATGATTCGGATTTTGAATGCTGAAGATCTAAACTACCAATTACGCATATACATATGTAATTTCTCAACTCATTTCTCGCCTAATTCTAGGAAAAGTATTTAGCAAGAAACGAGCGATCGCAATCGGCATTACAATTAGGAGGCATTAAGTCCGAGGAGGCATACACATAAGCACATTCGACCGCTCCAATTGTTAATAATTTCACAGCCCTCAATCACTCTTTTTTTCGTCTGTTTTATTTTTTCGTGTTTCAAGTTTATCTTAGATTTTTACTTCGATACATTCATTTATTGTTTCTGATCTCTGTCCCAGAGCAAAGAGTATATCCACCAACAGGAATTGCTATTTCCGTATTAACATGTTTTATAAAAGTAGTCTTAGGCCCATAACTTCGTGTAAATAAACCAGTTTTACCCAATAATATGAAATACATTTTTTTAGTTTATATAAGACATATTAAATATAAATGGTGGATGCCAAAGTACATTTCCCATCTAAAATTTGGAACTTGAGCCGAACTACAATAAATAAACATTACTTGATTTTAAATATATTTATATTCTTCACCAAAAAAGCCAAGATTTGGAACGTTTTTAATATGGACAAAAATCATTTATCTCTTTGGATCGGCTTCTTGCAGCCTAAAAATCATTATTTTTAAGAAAGATTTTAAAGGTGTTCTTTATATTGTCGTTGGCGAACTGCGGCTTTTTGAGGACCTCACCCAGAGCAAAGCGACAGCTCTTGACGTTGTACTCAGACTTGAAGGACTCCTCGCACCGCAGCAGCTCCAGCTGTTTGAGGACATAGTTCAGCACGCGCTTCTCCTGCTTGGTCTTTATAGCATAATCGAAGGTGGCTTGATATAGGGACTCTGCCAGTTCTAAGGCTGGCTTCGACGACTGCGCCAGATGTGCACACTTCAGGGTGGTGAAGACAAGCAGCAGCAAGTGATTATCATCAGTAAATTGCTGAAAAGTAAATGAATTATAATTTAATAAATTGTCATGTATGGAATGGTTTCAATAATTGAAACTATGTAAAAGAAACAAAAGTATAAGCCCGTATTTTTAGGCAGAATAAAAAAAAGCAATAAATTTCTTTAAAAAAATTAAAAACATATTAATTACTAAATTATAGATCACTTACGTTAATAACGCCTTGCAAGGCTTGCAGTTTGTTTTCCTCATCTAGCGCGTCAAAATCTTTCTGGGAACAGGGTTTTTGGTTGAGTACGAAATCTTCTGGGGAGCATTTGTTGCTGATAGTCTTGTTGATGGCAAAGGTATCGCCGACCCGCGAGTTTGTGGTCTCGTTGAAGAGCTACAGAAAGCATTAGAACAAAATCATTTCAATAAATTAATGAAATGAAAATCGAAAAGTCTACCTTAGTTGTGTATGCACTTGTGGTGACATATGCCGTTTCCTCAGCATAATCATCTTCGTTTTCGTCTGCCTCTTCTGTGGTATCATTGCCATGTTCGTGATCATCGGTTTCCTCTTCCTCTTCTTCATCGTAATCTTCTTCCTGTTCGCCGCCTTCGCCTTCCTCGTCGTCGTCCTCTCCGTCACCATCCTCCTCATCCTCGGAGTTGTCTTCCTCTATCGGTTGCAGGGCCTGAGCGTTTGGTAATTTAGACATTTCCGCAATGACCTGTTCGCAGCCATCAGCTCCAAAGCAATTGCCGTCCAGGTTTAAGTAACGAAGTTTGGGTTTGTTTTTCATGGCGCCCACCAGTACCAGACCACCATCGCTGTTTATCTCATTAAAGCCTAAATCGATGGACTCCAGTTGTTCATTAGAGTTCTCCAGGGCTTCACCTAAATGATAGGCGCCATTCGTCTTGATGAGGCAGTCACCAAAGTTTATTTCACGTAGCCTGCAAAAAAGAGTACAAAATCGTACATGGAACTCGAATTAAACTGATAAATTGTAACAACCTACTCACATAGGTAAATTTGGCAGAATTTCGGCAATTTTAGCCGATCCCTTAGGTCGGAGGATATTGTCGTTTAAATTAAGCACGCGAAGGTGAACGTTCTCCTTGAAGGAATCAGCCAGGGATATGATACCCTCGTAAAATATCGAGTTCTGCATCAGAACAATTTCTTCCAAAGTCTTAAGAGTTTTAAATGCATTTGACATGGCTTTAGCTCCCGTATTCTCGAGACGATTCCGACCGCCAATAAAGACACGCAATTGCAACGGCGATCCTGCCTTTTGGGCATTGGCGTGTAGGTCGATAAGCGCCTTGGACAGCATAGTGCCGCCCTCTGGACCAAGACCGCAGTTAAAAAGAAGCAGCTCTTGAAGGGAATAACACACAGGCGAACGCAAAAACTCTTCCAGACCACGCATGCCGTTTGGACCCAATGCATTGTCACTTAGGTCCAGAACCGTGAGCTTGGCTCCGGCTGCAATCAGACCAGCTCCTAGGTGTTTCAGAGCTAGCGGGATCTCTGTTTTGAGGCGCCTTGTGAAGAGGTTTTTCCACTGCGCCTTACGAAATTCCGGGTGTTTTTTTAATGCCTCACCAATCGCCTCGGCCGCATCCACTCCAAGTGTGTTTCCATCCAGATTGAGGTAATGCACTGTGGTCTGCTTGTTCAAGGCGTCCACTACATCCTGAACTATTTGTAAGAGCATTATTAGCCATTTTTAAAGATAGCGTCACCCTTCACAACTTACCATCCTCTGCGGTGTTCCAGGTGAGCGCTTTGTCTTGAAAGGAAATTCCCTTTTCCTCGCCCAGCATGGCTGCCATACTAGCAAAGTTGAAGGTAGTCGCGGCCATGGTCGGTTAGTGATATATTTATGTTACTTTATATATTTCCTGAGATAATTACAGCCGGTCTCGAAATTTTAACCTCGCAAAATTAGGCGCTAGAATGGCATTTATTGGAATTTCGCCGGGCACATTCGGGTCACACTGCTCTCGATATATTTCGATATAACTATCGATATATTTGTATAAAACTTTAAAATTTGACCAATAAATAACCTTTTAGTTTTTAAAAACACTTGGGAGTACGAATAAAATTAAACAATTTTAGATAAATTTTTCATAGTGAATCGGTACCTTATTTTTTCGCTAACGGCCAATTTTGAAATAACCGGTACGTTAATAGTGAGACCAGCCTCTTTAAGCTAGCAGCTGGAGACGCAGCTGTTGAGACCGCCAAAATTTCGCAAAATATACAATCGAAGCCGGCGACGCCGCGCCATTTTCCATTCCCAAAATTTGCAAGTGAGTGTTCAGTGCGTTCATCGAACTGCCCAAGTAACTAGTTAACTTTATTTTCTGTAGATGCCTTCAATCATTACCGACGACATTCCAGCTGCCAAAAAGATGAAGATCGACAAGTGCGTCCTGCGATTCGCCAAGCTCACAGAACATGCTCTGGAGCCGGTCCGTGGATCCGCAAAAGCTGCCGGCGTGGACCTTCGCAGTGCTTACGACCTGGTGGTCCCAGCTCGTGGCAAGGCCATCGTTAAAACTGACCTACAAGTCCAGGTCCCGGAGGGCTCCTATGGACGAGTGGCTCCGCGGTCTGGTTTGGCGGTCAAGAACTTCATTGACGTGGGTGCCGGAGTGGTAGACGAAGACTACCGTGGAAACCTGGGTGTTGTGCTGTTTAATCATTCCGACGTGGACTTCGACGTAAAACGTGGGGACCGCATTGCTCAGTTTATCTGCGAACGCATCTTCTATCCAGAGTTAGAGCTAGTCGATAAGCTGGAGGATACAGAGCGCGGGGAGGGTGGATTTGGTTCTACCGGCGTCAAGGATCTACCGCCGGCCAAGGCGCAAAACGGCAACGGCGAAAAGGCGGCCGATCCTGAGTCTGCGGCCTCCACTCCCATTGCCACCTGAAAGGAAATCTGCTGTTTACCTTGAAAACATCATCTTAGTATTAAGCGAAATGTTTAACATTCGGGTTTCGCATATCAGCGCCCTCCATATATAAAGTTTCATAAGCATTAATAACCATTTCGTTTTTTGTTTTCGTGTTGGTCTTACACAATTGTAGGAATACAAATATCTAATAACATGGCTTGCAAATATGATACATGGTACATCTGAATCGGAAAGTATTTGTTTTGGGATTACGCTGTTTATTGAAACATTTCCTTGATACGCCTCCGTTTAAGATGTTTAGTGAAAGCTAATAATTGATGATGAGTCGATGAATGAATAGATTAAGGTACATATTCTGCTTCAAATTTTTATTGTCAAAAGATAATGACTACAGCCAAACCGCAGATCCTGGATCTAGATTTGAACCCCAAAATTTGCGAAATCGATGTCTGTGCGACATTGTAGGTCGAATCCAAAATTCCGAAAGAAGAGGATCCTGCATCATTATCAAGGGTATCCAAACTAAACATCGTCTATTCATAATAGTTTTATGCAGTTTAAAGGAAGACATTTATATTTTTAATTGAGTGAAAATTTCTTTATAGATTAACAGGGAATAATTACAAGTAATGCTGCTTCTGTAAATAATAAAAGCAATTATAATTCTGCACAAATAGAAAAAATTGAAAAATAGAGCTATAGGCCTCGCCGCCTGGGTTAGGGATACTTGAACCGAACGGGTGCAGTGAGTTATGACAGAGTAATGAGAGCCAAGAGGCGCCGATGGCCCACAATATCTGTTTGCGTGTCTCAAGTGCATTGCTGCACAATTTACGCGGCCGATTTTAATAAATTCAATGACTCCAATTTGTAATTAGACGCTGGAGGTGCGCTGCGTGCTTTTAATTGTTTTGTAGCCATCCTTGGTTGCCTTTTGGCGCAACGGTTCCGCTCGACCCGCGGCGCATCGAGCACTCCGGAGGTCAGCCGCGTGCCCATAACGCCCTAGAACGCGGCGACTTGGCTTGCATTTAGAGCCACTTGCAACCTGAAAATGTGAAATGCGGTTGCAGAGACAGGTTTTGGTTTTGTTTTGTATGGTAACTGGTATAATTTATTTGCTTCAGCTTGTGAAAAATAGCTATAGTTCGTTAAATGTAAATAATAAATCAAATTTATTTGCATTCCGATTCTGTAGGAATATGCTTCTTTCTTTAAGTCCTTGCATACGGCCAAGGTATTACAAATTGTTTCTTTCTATTGGACTTACAAATATTTAAATAAACAATATATACATTGAAATTAAAAAATACCTTTGCTTTATCTTGTTTCTGTGTGTTTTTTTTCCATTTTGTTTTGTGTTTAAAGTCTTGGAGCTCTTAAAAAGGACTTACTAATAGTTATAAAAGTTGAATTTGGAATTCCTCTGTGCATGGCCGCAGAAAAGTATACATTAATAACTCAAGTTTGAAAGAAAAGCCGGCCCTTGTGGGGTGCGTACTTTAAGGTAACATACAAAATAAATAGCCTTTTACTTTCGATTTGCTAAACAATATGGTAAAATGAATTTTAAGTTCGCTTCACATTTATCGGAATTCTATAAAATATACATTACTGACTAGCAGTTAAAACGAAAAAAGTCATAGAAATAAATAAAATCAATGCAAGTTCACGTTGCACTTAAGTACGTACGTAATCGAAAACGCTCATTAAATTGACTAATTAATTGATTAAAGTTATACAAGTACAAATATGATTTGTATTTTGCCTGTGCATTCAGTGTCTGTGCAGTGGAAGACTTTGCGATTATTGTTGTTGTCACTTATAGTTTCTACAATAAGTTTAGCTAGCCATTACTACTAGTATACTATTTATTATTTAATTTACACAATTTTCTCTCTGTCTTCAATCTTCAATCAGTTTTCTTGTGTTCCTTTAATTTATTTTTACCTTTTGTGTATGGTATTTCTTTTTTGAAAGCTCTTTTGGTACAACAGTTTTGCAGTTGAAATGCAATTAGTTAGCATTAATATTTATGAAATCAAACATAACTAGCTGGTGTCGTTGCACGGCAGCTCGGGCAGCGCCAAGATGCCACTGGGCGAGTTGGACGCTGCTCGCTGAGCAGCCATATCACTAGCAACGCTCTGATTGCTGTTTCTGCTGCTGCTCCCATTGCTGCCGCCATTGAAAATCTCCGACTTGAAGCTACAGCTAGTTATGGCTGGCGTGGCTCCTGTTGCTGTTGCTTCTGTTCCTCCAGCTGCCGCAGCTGCTGGTGCTGGTGCTGGTGCCGCCCCACCCGTTTGCAGTGCCAGTATTTGCTGCGCCTGCGCAACGCATGCAACACACGGACACGGCCCGCCCAATTTCTTCGCCAATATGGAGCGCAGCTTGAGAGCCGGCCCAAGCTTCATGCCCAACGAGTTAACCAAATGATCCTCGGTCAAGAGCGGCAGTCCGGTGCCGTCGATGGACTGATCACGAAACGACTGCAACGAGAAGAGAGCGCAGAAAGAGAGAATTAGTGGATGCGAGTGCAGATTTATGTGGCACCTCTGGAGCCTGGTGGCACAGTGGCTTTACTCGTGCCAATAGTGCCATAAAATTTTATGACTAAATTAGCTTGGCGAGCTTATTTTGAATTATTCCATAAATAAAGTAGTAATTATTAAGAAGCAACCTTTTATATCCTTACATACTACTTATAACTTATATCTGCATCTGTTTGGGGGATCTTTAAAGCTTAATTCAACAAAAAAATACTACATTATATTTACATCCATAGGATATAGCTCGCTTGTAATGAATAGTGACCCACCCAGAATTTTTAAGTAATTGCTCGAAATATTCCCCATTATTCGGAACCATTATTCCTTTTCTCCAGCCACAATGAAGATTCGTGGTCAGGGCATCCTCCCTTCTTGTTCAGTTTGCTCGGTTTTTCGTTCTCGGATATGTGTGTGCTTGTGATTAATGCGCGGCTCTTAAAAATTGTTAATGAAAAACGATTTTGGCCAAAGCTGCCTGACTTGGCTGCCGGTCTCCGCCGGCCCCTGCAGTAGCATTTTCATATTTGCAACGCACGATCGATTGAAAGTGGGCAGTAGAGAGTGGGCTTTACGCCTCCTTTGCCGCCGCTTCATGCTTCTTATTTCCTTCCTCCACGCCGATCTGCCACGCCCCCCGCCGCTGCTTCTGCAACCAGCTCCAACTCCAACTCCAGCTCCAACTCCGACTCCGACTCCCCTTTGGGCAAAGCGAAGCTCGCGCCACATGAGATTTCTATTATAGATTGGCCCTGATTGAATTCCACGTAGCTCTCTTCCACGGGGAACAACCTGTTTCCGCGGCAGCTGCTGCAGTTGCAGTTGCTGGTGCTGATGCTGCCGCTGCCACAGCAGCCTTGCAACTGGAGGTAAGGTTAAAAAATGCCACCGTTTTCCCTCCACTTGGATACGCCCTTATCGGGATGCATTTTTGTGTATTAGTTGTGGACGGCAATCGATTCGATTCCCGGGTGCCGGGTCACATCTCTATATATAAGGGACGGGTCACCCAGCCGGGCAGCTCAGCGTTGCAGCGATGTGGCGGATGCGGATGCGGCTACGGCTACTCACTGGCTACCTGGTCCTGCTGGCCCTCGGCCACCTGCCGCAGGAGCGCTACGGCGTTGGGGCCCAAAAGTACTACATGAACTTCGCCTTCAACAACAACAATCCGGACGCGAACGGGGGTTCGAACGAAAAGGACGGCACCACGCACGGCGACGCCGATCACGGAACAGGGCATGATGATGATGGACATGGAGATGGAACGACTGAAGCTGGCAGTGACAGCGGGAACAAAAGCAACGGGGAGGGTCACACCAGTAACGGTGGCGATGGTGGCGGTGATGACGAAGCAACCACTGACGGAGGTGATGGGGGCGATGGAGGCAATGGAAGCGGGGGCAACGCCGACGGAACACACACTGTGTCTAAGCACAATCCTGGCGGGAACGATGACGATAACGACGACAGCGACAGCAAGGACGCCAAGGACCGGCGCCAAAAGCTGCGCGAGCACGAGGAAAACGCGGCTAAGGGCAAGCGCACTGATCACAGCCACCACAGCAGCTACGAGATCAGCATCGACGACAGCTTCGGCGGGCGGTACGTCCGCTCCATCTACGAGAGCAGCGAGAGCCATGGCCACTCCGGCAGCAGGGCAGACTCAAATCGGCACGACAGCGCCAATGGACGCGACAGCAGTCAGGAGAAGGACAAGGATCATGGTTCCGGGGCGGCAACCACTGAAACCCACGCCGGCGACGCCAATGGCACCGTGGCGGATGCCTCGCACGGAGATGTAGCTGCCCGGGCCAAGGACGATGACTACGAGGAAATGTAACACCACAATACACGCAGAGTGAGTGAAACCTTTGTCTTTAAATTCACTCATGATGGGCTCTATCCCCCTAGCTTGACCTGACCGAGGAACCTTTGGAGGATGCAGCCAGCCTCAAATTGAATTTTCGAATAAAATGCCAATGACATTTTTAATGATTGCTTATGGGGTTTTATCTTTACGGGAAAGTGATGTGAAATTTAAGACAAGGGGCTGAAAATCGGGATGCATTTGGTAGATAAAGCTACTTTTGTATCTATGTATTTTGAGTTACTTAAGGAGTTGTTTTAACGACAGTGGCGGATTTAAGGAAAAGGCCCAGTGGGCAAAATTTTTTCAGGGTACATTGAAAGGGTATTTTGAAGGGTACAGCCCAGAAAATTTGACAAAAAATCTTAAAAATATTTTGTTCCCAGATTTTGATGCAGATTTATGGAGAACCGATCCACAAATCGTTTAAGGTATTCCGTTCAAGAATCGGATGAATATTTCCTAAGATATGGCCTTCGCAGTGGGTCATACCGGGCTCCCCATGTATTTTGCACATTTTGAAGGGGACAGCCCAGAAAATTTGACAAAAAATCTTAAAAATATTTTGTTTCCAGATTTTGATGCAGATTTATGGAGAATCGATCCAAAAATCGTTTAAGGTATTCCGTTCAAGAATCGGATGAATATTTCCTAAGATATGGCCTTCGCAGTGGGTCATACGGGGCTCCCCATGCATTTTGCACATTTTGAAGGGGACAGCCCAGAAAATTTGACAAAATATCCTAAAAATATTTTGTTCCCAGATTTTGATGCAGATTTATGGAGAATCGATCTACAAATCGTTTAAGGTATTCCGTTCAAGAATCGGATGAATATTTCCTAAGATATGGCCTTCGCAGTGGGTCATATGGGGCTCCCCATGCATTCTGCACATTTTGAAGGGGACAGCCCAGAAAATTTGACAAAAAATCTTTAAAATATTTTGTTCCCAGATTCTGATGCAGATTTGTGGAAAAGGAATCGAAGGTGTAACTTTCAGCACGAGGGGCCCTGAAAGCCTTTCGTCGGGGGGGGCCCAGTGGGCAAGCGCGCCTTTGTTAAATGTTAAATCCGCCACTGTTTAACGGTATCATATTTGAGATATATATATATTCAAGATAGTTTGATACTACAGAGATACTTTCAGTCTTTAGTTATATAGAAGTTAGTTCTTTTGCTACAAAACTGGTGGTTTTCTTTTAAAAGTGAAGTACCGGAAGATAACATTGGTCTTCTATCCTGACTGTTTTTTCAATAAAACTTTATCATTTAAAGAAGAAACAATAAAAATAAAACAAAATACATTTATAGTGCCTATACATTATATTTAAAGCGCTTCAACAGATACTGAAAAATAAAGCTAGACAATGAGCTTCAGAATGAATAAAGTCACACATGTGCCCAATGCGATCTAGTGATAGTTGAGCCACCTCTAAGAAAACCTTTAAAATTAATTCAAGCTCCCAATAATTTTATAATTTATTCAAAAGAGGATAATAAATATAATAATCGTATATGTTTATTGCAACTTTTCTCATTTAAAGATGTATAGTTAAGGACAATGACATGGAAGGCACTACCCATTCATATCTACAAACCATTATATTTTATTAAAAAACAGTATGGTGAAAAAAAAACACAGAATGGTTGGAAAATCAATTACTACCCAATGGAAAGTCACCCGTAACTATCACCGGTTAATTACATTGGCAACGACCCATTGAAGCGAAGGTATATAGGGAACCCACCAATCATCGAGAGACTTCTGCTTTGGGTGTGACGAAGGTGGCTTCCTTGCACCATGCTGATTCCCTGCCTGTGGACAACTCTTCCGTGGATTGTTCTGGGCCAGACCTACTACCTGAGCTTTGTTTTCAACAACTTCCGGTATTCGGACAAGCCGGCCGAAATATACGCACCTGATCTTGGGATGCCCAACAACAAAAATACTAAAAGCCCCAACAAGGAGGAGAAAACACTGGAGCTGGTATCGATGGAGCGTTCGGATGAGAGGAAAATCAGTAAGCCCATTCCAGATAGGGAGCCTGAGGACGATGATACTCTAGAACTTAGTTCTGCAGAAAGGTCTCACGATTCTGAGGAAGACGAGTCCATATGGATAGTGGCCACGACACCGAGGAAGCCAAAGAAGACCACTAAAAAGAAGAAGAAAACTTCTAGGAGGCCGACGACGCTCTCAACGGAAATGGACACCCCAGAGTCTCCCGAGGAGATAACCACAGAGTCCACTAAGGCCACTCCGACGGTTGGAAAGCCAACTGCTGAGATCCCCAAGGAATCCCGAGAGGATGATGCCAAGGAATCAAACAAAAACTCAACCAGTGCCACTGAAAGCCCCTCAGGCAATCCACAAGGCGAGAGGCCCGAACCCACCCCCAAGGAATCCACTATTAGTCCTGAGGAGTGGAACATTCTTCAAGGCATCAGGTCCCATCCGCCGGAGTTCTTCAGCTATCCCGAGGCCAGATGCCACGAGGATATGGACTTGCACGAAGTGTTCGGCATCAGCCTGGAACGAGACCGGGGCCTACCCAGCAAGGTCCTGTGCACGTTCAACAACTCCTGGGGAGGACCCTGGCTCCTGACCACCCGCATCGAGCTGCCAGTGCGCCTCCACATGCGTCAGTGGTTCTTTGGCTACCTGACGGAGGACTACAAGGACTTAAGTGCCAACTTCTTGGCCCTGGCCCACATCATGAACTCCATGCGCACGGCCATGCTTATCCTTGGCCAGGACAACAGTAACAGACTGGTCTACAATCTCTACGACGACGTCGTCATCTCGAGTATCAACGACCTGTTCCTGCTGCGGAAGGCGGAGTTGGTGGAGGCCAATACCCCGGATCTGCTATTCGGCTCCGTGGGCAAGGTGTTCAACCTGTTTTCCGGCCGCAACCGAACGTGTCCTTTGCAGGTTTTGGGCGGCTGGTGGGCATCAGAGGCCCAGTCTGACTGGTAGGGATGAGGATACCTTAAGACCTTTAAGGACCATCCGAATAAAATGCTTACACTTTCAGCGTCTTTCCAGTCAACCGAAATGTTACGCTGCCCGGCTACATGGCCTTCTTCATCAAGCCCAGCCTGTTTCCGGTGAACCACACGGCTCTGTACCACAAGCTGATATCCACGCGGCGTCCCTGGATGCCCACGGTGAACGCGGCCCTCTGGTCGAAATCCATAAGGGACAGGGTCCCCTACAAGACCCTCAGGAACAGGGAGTACGAAAGGAGCAAGATAGAGGTGGGGTTCCAGCTAATGCATCGCGCCAGCCAACTTCTGGGCATCGACAAGGACAGAAAACTGGAGGCCCTGCGACAAGGGAAGCTGGGAAGATAGCGGAGTTCGGATGTGGGTCAGAAGTGGGACGGAAGCTGGAAGCGCTTCAATTACTCAGAGACAAGAATTCTAACGTATAGTCTAGGTCTAAGAACTCACTCAATAGCTTAGGGATTAAAAGATCAAAATTGACCATGAATGGCTTTTCTTTTATAATTGAAGGCGAAGTTTTCAACCTCCGCGAGTTGAAGGGAAATAGGAGGAAACGAAAAACTAAGCCAACTAGAAAGATGGAAACCAACTATCTAACATTAAGCAAAAAATGTAAGTTCTAACCGGAAACTTGTGGCTTTATTCGAATGGATACCAGTCATCATTTTGCTCCAACAAGGTAGAAAAAAGTCATAACCGAGAGAGATTCGAGGGCCAGCAACTCTGATTTGGGTGGCTCTGTGGTTACGGTTATGGTCAACCAAGTGCATTCGGAATTCTGTGCCAATAATTGACAGAGTCAACAATTGCAAAAACAATAGAGGCCCCAGAAATGCCAATAGCCGGCCAGAACAATACCGAACCGAAGCAGATTTGAATTGTGGCTCGGCTCTTGACTTTGAACTCCTTTTGTGAAAATAAAGCAAAAAACTACGTCCGGGGCAGACACGCAATGTAATTGGAGTCCCCGCTCAGTTAATGGCAATTTAGGCCAAAAAGCGAGGGAAATATGGAAATATGCTAGTCATAGCAGGCCCCAGACCTAGGACTCTGTTTAATATTTTCGCCCGTAAACCAGATCATCGAAAGCGATTAATTAGGTAAGTCCGAATGCTCCAAAGTTTGATGACTTTGGCAGCTCATATCTATTTGTCCATCACAATAGACACACGATTCTTTATTGAAAATTAGCATATGTCCCAGAGTCTCCGAGAAGCACAAGATAGAACCCAGGAGTACCAGTCAGCAGCGTATGTCGATATAATCTTTGAACTCCACCCAAATCCAAGACTATTTTTCAATATAATTAAACTTTATAGTTCAAGTTTGAGCAGCTATTTGTCTTGGGCCCAGGCCAGGGTGACCCGAGGTAAGCATGGACGGAAGATGGTCAAATATCAATGAACGCCCGGGGATAGATTTGCATACTCAGTCGAATGATTCGTCAAAAGTTGGCCCAAAGTCGAGCCAAAGAACTCGTAAATATTTGTTCGGTTTCTTTATGCGACTCCCAGCTGGGCCAGTTCGCCTTTCTGCCTCGTTAATAGAGCTATAAAGTTTAGGCCCAATAAAGTTAGTTTGTTGCGCAATATTTACATAGAATTCAAGTGGGTTTCAATCATAAAACAGACCCATAAAATTGATTCTTGTTTTGCTTAAAATATTCGGATTAAAAAAGACATCAGTCTGAGCCTTAGAGATAAAACTATCGGTTAGCTTAGGGAGTTATTAGATCTAACAAAAATATCAGATCCATATCTCTAAATATATAAAAGGCCTATAATTTTAAGCCCTTCTAAATTTTCGGGTTATATTGGCTATATTCCCCTCACGCACCCATCTCTTCGGTGAATACCAATGAACCCAAATTGAAAGACCGAACATGTGGGGATAATCCAAGGCCCTGGAATGTTTTTGCAAAATAAATTAATAGCAGGGTCGGCGTATGGAGCGTCAAATTCGAAACGTGCCAGGTCCTCATCCGTTTTAAGTCCAGTATCCAAAACCAGAATCCCATCTCTTCCAAATCCAAGACGGGCCATTTTTTGCCCAAAAGACACATCACACGCTAATAAGCAGCTACGAAAGTGCTTCTGGCTGCTTCTGGTCACCCCGATGGGTATTTTGTTCTCCTCCTGGAGCCCCTGCACCCTGCACCCGGCACCTGGCAAATACATTTTAATTTCCAAATCCCGGCTGGGTGAGCAGCGAAAACAAAATGAATTCTGCCGGCCTGGCCGGGAGAAGAGGTCTCTTCTCTTTCGCGGCCGGTTCGCGAGTTCGGTTCGGTTCGTCTCAATTGTATTTCTGGGCTCAATTTAGTTGTACGGATTTTGACCTGCTTAACCCTACAGCCAGCCGAACAACCGGCCAGAAAATGGTGGGCCCCGGACAGAGAAAGGCGGAGGGGCCAGTGCCCAGGGGAAGACAAGAAGCGAAGACAACAATTTGAATTCTAAATTGAACAGCTTTTTGTGCTACCTATGCCCGGGAGCTCGCCAAGCCGCCAGAGTTGAGTGGAGCGCTGATCGCAGAACGTGGGCCGACCTGCTGCCGACTTGCAGAGGTTGGAGCTGTTGTTTCTTTCTCGATTTTTAGCCGAAGACCAGGCCACAGTAGGGGCTGAGCCACCGTCAATTGCGCCCAACTACCTACTCATTGTAATTCTTCATGTCTGGCCACGTTCCAGCCGGGCCAAAACCCGAACCCGAGAGAGGCTGGCCGAGAGAGGCTGAGACGGCGACCTGATTGCCGGCAGTGGCAAGTACCAAGTTCCAGTTGCCCATCAGCAACCTTTGGCTTGTATCGGTGTCTGCCCACCAAAAAAAAGCAACCAGCCTACAGAGTCAGAGTCACAATTCAACAAAAAGACTGAACTGTAGACTGAACTGGTTACTATCCATTAAAAAAAAGAATTAGAGATTTAAAAAAAATATATTAGCTATAAATACTAATTGTTAAAATATTAAAGAAATATAAGCATTTGTCGGATATAATATTTTTAGCAATAGTTTGAGGAAGGTGAATAGGTAATTCAATTAAAAATTTATAAACTTCCATTCTTGGGATTTGAATGAAATAAATTTTAAAATACAAAGTATTATTATGATACTAATATATACTTATATACACATAATACTATTATATAAAATTTTATTTAAGACCTTTCAGTGGATATCAAATGGCTGATATCCCCTGCTCACCCTACACTTGTCTCTTTGGAACCCCAGTACCGAGTATTTAATGATATTTCTCTCTCCTGGCTCAGCCCAGCAAGCCAACAATTACGCTTAATGCCAAACATCCTCTGCTGCGCGACGGCCACCTGTCCAAGTGTCCGGCTGGAGCTTCAAGCAGCGTATCCGAGAGCGGTAGCTCTGGTTTGATCTTGTTACGCATTCAGCGCTCCCTGGGTCTCTTGCTCCCTCCGACTAGGTGGCCTTTGGATTGGGTGCTGGGATCTATCCGCAATCTTGTGTAGGATTTGATTGGCATGTGGAGTACAGCGTCTTTGGGGGAAAGGCTTCCTCGCAGAGAAGGATAACCGGGCAGTGGTGTCTTTAAATTGCTGGCCAAGACTCTTCTTGATTGATTCGTTTGCCAAATCCACCTTAATCGGTGCCTGCTTTGGCCAAAACTGTATTCCATCAATCAATAAACTGTTTCGAAAACGGCTGCTTATTATTTTAAAAAATTGTGGAACCGCGGCCCTCGGGTCGGGTAATGCTAAGCTATCTGTCTTGGACAATGTTAAATGAGGTTTATTTTTATTCAAAGCTACATTGCCTCTGGGCCAATAAAAAACATAAAAACAGTGGCCTAATACTAACAAGTATGGGTATTATATTATTTCTTTGTTTTAGAAAGTGTGCTTATTTCTGCCCTATATATATAAATTATAATAATAAATTAAAATAATAAATTAAAAATGTAATTATTTTAATATATTTCTGAATATTTTCTATAGCCTTGTCCTTTTCGTCCCACTGTCCCCATTGAGGCCAGTGCAGATACTGCATCTTAAGGTCAAAATATTAGCAAATTTTATGTGACCCGCTCGCCGATGCCTGCCCCTGGGGAGCAACGAAAAGAGCTCCAACCAATCCAATCCAGCCCAATCCAATCCGATCCGAACCTCGGGGGTCGGAAAGAGGAATCTGCAGCAGCAGCAGCAGCCGCAGAAGCAGTGGAAGCCGTAGAAGGAGAAGCCGGGCTGTTAATTTCGTTGCAGAGCGAGCGGTAGGCACATAATCAGTTTATTTTGTTTGGCGGCTGGAGGGCTGGGGGTCTGGGGGGCGTCGGACTTGAAGCCGAAGCTCAGGAAAATCAAAAAGAAAAAGAAGTAGTGCCTCGGGTTATACGCCAAAGATACAATTTTAGATTATATGGCCAACTGCGCGCATGCGCATAATAATAATGCATGCAACAAGAGGATGGCGAGGACGAGGATGGGGATGAGGACGATGGCGACGAGTAGCCAATTGCATCCGAGCCCCGAATCCCGAACCCCGAACCCCGGGACCTAAGACTGCAGACCGACTGAAAGACTGAAAGACCCAAAAGCCGGGCCGGGTCGTCTTCTGGCTTCCTGTAGGGGCACAAAAAAGGCGTGCAAGTGGGTATAATCATCATCAGCTTTGATAACACACCACAAGCGACGTTGGCTGCAACGACCTGCCGGGGTTCGGAGAAGACTCCCCGACCCCAGACCCCATAGCCAAGACGAGACCCTATACTGCTACACTCCAGACCTGCAGACCCGGCATGATCTCCTGCTTGCCATTTGACTTTCGGGCTGACTTCTCTTAGCTTTACTTTTTTGTGGCACTTGTGGCCTTTTTTTCAGCTGTGTGTGAGTGCTTCCAGTCATGCGCCGACTTCAGCTGCAGAGTCCGAGTCTTGACTTTGGTCTCTGGTCCGAGGTCTCTGGGGTCTCAGTGGGGCTGCTGCTGCTGCTGCTGCTGCCTGACTTGGCTGCCGACTGTCAGTTAAATGGCGGCTTTGTTGCCGTGGCCACCTTCTAACCTGCGCCTGCTGCACATTTCATCTAACCTCTGCTCCAGTCTGGTATGCACAGTGGAGCATGTTCGCAAATCTGTGGCCTGGAGAGCGGTTAGACCCGAGAACCAGAACTACGAGCCACTGTCCCCGCCGAAATTAGAAGCAGGAGGATGGCAGGAGCCTTGCAGGTCCCCGTCGATTGCGATCATTTGCTTTCGTGCTGTGATTTCCGCCCCGAAACCTTCGAAGGACAGAACTTTCCTTCAATGTAGGTGCTCGGCCTGGCTGGGCTGGCTGGTTTTTCCTCCAAACTTCAAGGCCCGGCAGCAACATCATCAAACAAACGACATCATTATCGTGCAACATTATCGAAAAAAGACTACAAACCCAAATGCCAAACGCGAGGCATAAAATGGCTTGTCGTTGGTCAATTTTTCGTCCATCGGAGGCGACTCCGAAATCCCTGCGACGTCCCCGAAATGTATTGAAATATGGTGGTAAACGGGCAATTTAAATGCTGCCCCTGCCGTTGCACGGAATGTGGTTTTAAGTAATTCATGGATTAATGGTAGCATATTGGTCTTGTGGCAAGAAAGGAGGCAAATAGTAGGGCCGGGTCGGGCCAGTGGCAGGGGCAGATCCGAGCCAGTGGCCGCTGTCTCTTGAGTGAATGGTCGTGTCTGGGGCCGAGGCTGCCACTGCTGGCTGCCTGTCTGTCTGTCTGTCTGCCTGTCGTGGAAAGAGTAGGAGTTGCATGTTTAGCACGTGCCTCCAGTTCCTCTTGCTGCACACCCGAATGTTTCTGTTGCTTTTTTTTTTCCCCGATTTGTTGTTGCCGCTGCTGTTGATAATGCGTTGACCGCCAACGCCGCAAACTAGATTGTTACGTTTATAATCATTAGGCGAGTCGGCGATTTCCTTTCCTTTAGCTCCGCAATTGGTTCTCTGGGCTATGAAAGTTGCCAGTTGTTTTCACCACGAAAAGCACCGTTAATATGTATAGGCCATTTCCAGGAGAAGCAGGAATCTATTATAATATCAGAATGGGAAACCTCTACAGAGTTACATCACGGCTGAAGTGGCATTGAAGTCTCACCGATTTATTTCACATTCGTTATTCGGCTTGGCCGAAAATTAATTTGTTTTCGGCCCAGTCATACTTCCTGTTGGAAGTTGGAGGAAAGAAAAACCCAACTCAGGGGCCGCATAACAACACACTCGTCGACCAACAAATTGCATTTTAATGCAACTTTCCAAATCAATTTCCGAAAAGCAAACAGCCTCTCTGGCGGCGAGGGGCACGCCAGTTCCCTTTTAGAAAATCAAGGGAGTGGAGGCGAGGTAGAGGGGCGAGAGGTCGGAGTTAGCCACAAGAGTGCCTGGCCAAGAGGCCAATATAAAAATAAATAAAACCCAAGTCAGCCATGTGACAGTTATGGATGAGACTGCAGCCGCACTCTCCGACCGGGATATCCACTTGGAGTGGAGCTCTGGACCCGGTCGGGACCAAAGCCTAAGTAACGAGTTGGCAGTGCGATAAAAAATCTAACTTTAATACGAATTAAGATAAACAAATAACGAGGAGGCGGCAGGGGGGCGGAGGGATCTAATCGAATGTTTGTGGATGGCAATGGAGACCTCCGGGCCCGAGCTCAAGTGACAAGTGCGGGCCTAGCCAGGGCTTTTGACATTTTGCTGAATATGAATATGAAACTGCAACGAAAACGATAGTCGCGATCATGACGGGGACTGGGGCTGGAGACTGGGGACTGGGGTCTGGGGACTGGGACGATGATGATCATGACTACGTGAATTTTCAGTCAGTTGTTTATGTTTACTCGAACGATGAACGAAACCTTATGCCTAATAATAGGGTCGACTTTGAAATGCATACGAGCTGGAGAAGAAACTGAGGGACGGAGGAGTATTACTGATTGAAGTGGAACTGGAACCGGGGGATTTAGTTTGCTTCGGTTTATTTCTCGGGGGCGTTAGCCATGGTGCAAAATGTAGAGCTACGAAGCTGATCTCCATGTTGCCGATGCTTGACATTTATGTGAACCCGAACCCAGGCCGCCAACTGCCGCCAACGGAACTGCAAGCCAGCCTAGCCAAGCCGGGCCGGTGTCAGAGTCTCGAGCTCTGATCCAGAGACAGCCATCGTGGGCTAGCCGCGCCAAGTCAACTCTTTCGAGTCATGAATCTTATGACGCCTACGTGTACTTTTGGCATTTGGCATGTCAAATACAATAAGTACTAGGGGAGTCGCGCACCGAGATCAGAGCAGTCGGTACTTCGGGTCCAAGATGGAGATGGCGGGTTCAAGATTCTTCTCCCCATCTCGCCGCCTCTCTCTCTTGAGCAGCTTGGCTCGTTTTTTGGACCTAGACGAACCCGTTTTGGGCCAAGGGGAACATTCCTGGCTTGTCATTAACCGACAGAAACTAATTCGTTCCAAATAAGTTCAAGGTGGAATGCTGATGGATTGAAAAAGCCATTGGGGTTTGCAGATGTTTGTTTAGGTTCTTGATCTAAGCACTAAATTAGTCATTTCGAGATTCCTCAGAACTCTGATGGAGATTGCCAACCGAGATAGCTATTTTTGAATCTCTAAACTTTGCTTAGCGTTGAGGTTACTGAAATTAAACTCGGAAATGTAATATTTATTTGTAACTCATCTCCATGCTATCTTGCCTGCTGGCCAGTGATCTGGTCCAGCCATCTTCTATCGATCATGTTACTGGCCTCCCCGGGCACCAACCCACCTGTGCTACCTCAGAACACAATCAGAAAAGCCATTTGGCATTGCGCCGGGGAGCTCCCTCCTGTAGCTCGTGTCGCTGATCACGCATAGAAATTATTATTGTGCCTTAATATAGCCATAAATCTGGAAATTTTAAATGCAGAAAATATTGCATCCTGCTGCGCTGGCAGGGGAGAGAGAGCGGAGTCCAACTTATGACTTCATCTGCATTTTTATGGCGAATCCACTGGCCTGATAATAAACCCTGGCATCGCAGCCGAGATCGAGTGCAGGGATCGAGCCACCCATGCGTGCCCCTCCCAGCGAAGGCGCGGAGGCTCTCCTCCTCTCTGGCACATACCCTGGCAATATCAATAACACTTGCAACGACTGCAACATGATGCGACGACGACTACGACGACAACAACGTTGTCCCCGTCGTCGGACAATGTCACTGAACCAGTTCTCAATGTCTTCATATAGATTTCCACGGCCCGGCTAGAGTCAACCTCTGCACTAAATATTTACAACCTCCACAATATCTCAACGACCGACAACGACCAAGAGCAGAAAAGGCTAAAGCGAAAAAAACCCAACAAAAAATGAAACTAAAATGAGGCTGGTCTTTTCTATTACTGGCCTGGCGGAACAAGTTCATGCAACTGCAACACCACCACTCCACAAAAGGTGTTCAGGCGACCAAGACCGAGCCCAAGACCAACAGCCAACAACCAACAACCGACAGACGATGGCCGACAGCCAACATTCAGCGATCAACGACCGACGACCAAAGCCGGCCAAGTGTCGTTGTGGCCATAAATTCAATTGAATATTACGCCAATTGCCTTTTTGTCTATCGCGGACTCGAACTCGGACTTGGACTCGGACTCGGGAGGAGTCAAGCACCACGTCAGCCTCCAAACTGGTTCCATCATCGTCGTCATGTGTATGTCGCTTATTTATTTTTCCCCCATTTTTTGTGAAGCAGATTTAGTTCATCTTCGAATGCACGCTAAGCCGCTTTCAGCGCGCTAATTAGACGCCTCTCCAGGCCCACACCCCACACCCGACTCTCCCAATGCCGGCTAATATGCATCAAAATGTGTCATCACCTAGAGCTGGAGTTGTGGAAGGGGCTGGGACTGGGACTGGGGCTTGGCGTCCTGGCACCGACCGGCTTAATTGTTAACTCCTTGCAATCGAATCGGACTTGGACCATGTTTTCACTCCATTAACGCGTGGCGACGACCGGAGGGTGGCGGCATCTGCAGATCCTGAACTGGGTCCGGTAATGATGCCTGACGTTGACCGATCGTCGACCGCAAAAGCCAGTCAGAGGAGTTGCAACAAAAACGCGAGCCTCAGAATCCAGAGCAAGAACTAGAACTGCAGTGAGTCTCCAGCCAGCACCAGCACCAGTTCCAGTCTCAGGCCCTGACCGACCGATCAAAAGTCGTTCAACTTGCCGGAACTGGTCGTAAAGATCACCTGGCCACCATTTCATTCCAGGCCAGGCCGAGCAGGCTATGTGGAGTGCCAGTGCGGAGCTCGCATGGCTGGCATTAATGGCCGTCAGAGAGTTCAGACCCGGCCCCCGAGCGGGTTCAACTCCCAAATCATAGTTAATCTTCTCGTTTTTGGCAGGAAGCCCCACATCTAGACGCAAAAATAAGTGCGATCTGCCGATTGCCTCTGGGTGGATGAACTTTGACAGCAGGGAGAGAGCTCTTCCCATCTAGACTCTGGCCTAATTTAGTTGGTAATCATTAAGGTACGCTATCCTCAATAAAAGACTTGGAAGGTTGGTATTTGTCCCTGCCATTCCAAACATAAAACTCAATTAGTTTACTCCGCGAAAGCTCCTTTCTCCAAATGTAGTCCCCTCCTGGCTTAATTCTCTAAAAGTGGCTTAAAAGGTAGCATGTTTCTGGGGCCTACCTGGACGTATTCGGCGCATATATCAATTCCACCCACAAAGCCGCACACATCGCCCACCGACCAGGAGTTCACCTCCTCACTCTGTGCTTGGCACCTCTTGCGGGATTTTCCAGCTCCCGTTCCCGTTCGCGCTCCCGAATGGGCCTCGTCGTGCTGGTGGTGCTGCTCCAGCGGTGGCGGGGATGGTGTGGATGTGGACGAGGCTGTGGTGGCCGTTGTGGCCGTGGTGGCAGTGGAGCTGGCACGACGCTCGGCCTTAAAGCGCTTGGCGGCCGGTGGCTGGGAGCTCAGATCCAGTGGCGCCGCCGACGCAATCGAGGAGGGGGCCCCGCCGACTACCGGCGCCGCCGCTAAGTTCTCAGTTGCGGAACGAGGACTAGACTGCCGCGAAGCGTGATGCGATTGTTGTTGCTGTCGCTGGTGTTGCTGCTGCTGCTGCTGCAACTGGGCCGAGTAGATGAGAGCGGGTGTTACAAATTGGGCGGCCTGCTGCAGGGCGGCGTTCATTGTGGAGCTGGAACGGGGGGTGCCCGTCGCACTCGCGTTCGGCGAGGAGGCATTCGACCCCGAGCGCTGCTGCTTGGTGCGCAGTATCTCTTGGATTTGGGCGTCTTTTATAGCGCGTGCCTGGAAAGTGGAATTTAGACAATAGGATTAGGCATTAGAGGGGCCAGGGAGACACTCACCAGAGTCAGCAGCGCCTGGGTGCTGCTCATGTCTATCAGCGGCGGAAAAATGCCGGACGAGAAGGGCAGAAAGTTGCTCATGAACGGGGAGACACTCGCGGCGGCCACCACGGCGGCCATTTGGCTCTTGGCCTGCTCCGTGGGCGACGGTGCGGCCGGAGGCGGGGCCAGTTGAGACAGGGACGAGCCACTGCACGTGGCCGAGGCACTGCCCACGCCCCCTCCGCCGCTCATCTTGCTCTCCTTGGGCTGGCCTCCGGAGGGCGTAGCACTGGCAGAAGCTGCAGCTGCCGAGGAGGCCGATTGCGAGAGCTTCTTGGAGCTGCTCGGGCCACTGGAGCTGCCGCTGGAGCTGCTGCTGGCTGACTTGAGGGCGGAACTGGAGGCAGTGTTGGCGGAGCCCGGCCCGGCTCCTGTCGCGGCCGCTGCCGAGGCTCCGCTGTTGCTGTTGTCGTAGTACGAGTTGCGACGAGTGGCGTTGTGGCTGAGGATACAATTTTATTTTAAAATTTAAAAAAATAAACACATTTCTTAGCAAACAATTCAGAAAAGGGCATAGCTTTAGCGACTCACTCATTGGGATTGGAGTTGTTGTACTTGGCCGCCAGACAGCGCATTATGTCAGAGTAGTTGCGGGTGGAGAAGTCCGCGGCACTCGGCGCGGCACCTCCACTGTCCGCCTGGCCGGTGCTGTTGGAGCTGCTGCTGCTGGTCCGATGCTGCTGCTGCTGTTGGATGCTGTTCAGCAAATTCGTCGACAAATTGTGGAGCGGCATGTGCGTGGCGGTGGCCGAGGATGTGGCAGCTGCCGACTGGGCACTGGGCGGACTTAGGCGCTGCTGTTGCTGGGACTGTTGCTGGTTGGGTGAGACACCTCCACCACCACCACCACCGCGGAAAGACGATGAGGAGGGCGTGGCGCTGCGAGATCTACAACAGAATTGGAAACCCATTAGTTATGTTAAGTAGAACATTTAGCAGGTTTTGCATAAGTGGAAGATCTATCCGTGGTGTGACATCAGCCCCACATATTTGAGAAAACCAAAGACAGGCCAATCATAAATTTGCATTAAAAATTAATTATCTCGCCCCGAAAGGTGTCGCATACAATTGGATTATTTGTCATTCCCCGGAGTGGTCGGGCCGGCATCTCAGCCAGCTCGGGCTCTCGGCTTTTGACATGCTAATAAGCGGCTTCCGTGAGAGTTCTTCTCATCTGGAAGAAAGAGTCTAGATCTCCAGGCAGCTGCCCGGGAATGAGCTTGGTTCTTGGCCAAGTGGCAAGGCGATTACGAGTGCGATTGGACGTGAGAACCCCGTTTTCCCAAGGAGCTTGCGCGGCGGAAGAGATTGGCTGGCAGGTTATCAAAGCCTGGGACTCGCAGGTGAAAGGCATGGGAGAGTTGGCGCGCTGGGGGATCGCTTCCATCCCATATCCTGCCTGTAGTCTAACAATTCTCGAGTAATCTTTTCAAGGCCTTTGTTGTGGCCTCTTCGTGAACCCCTTCTTGGCTTAGTAATTCATACTTTCCTAACCATCCTGCCTTGTTCTCTAAAAACATTTTCATTTGGGATGCTCTCCGATCGAGTCCTGGACTCATGTTAACCAATGTCGAGCATTTGCGGCCATAACTCATATGCAACTACTGCCCGGACATGCCACCAACCTGGTGCCGCTGCCCCCGACTCCCTGCCACACTATCCGCTTTCGAAATCTCAACCACTGGCTATTCCGCAGAGCTCTCCCGAACACGAGCCAAGCCACGCAAGACTTTGCAAAAAATAAAATAATCAGCATAGATTTCAGCCCAGATCGGCAGTGGCAGTGGCTGCAGCAGCGGCAGCGGTCACCTCCGAGACCAAAATGCTTGTTGCCACAGCCAGTGGCAGCTGCAAGTGCCTGCCTCCATTTCCAATGAGCCCCAAACTTTGGCCACAGCTCTGGCACTTTGGCTTTGGGTGGCTGATTTAGCTATTTGTGGCCAAAAGCTTATAGCTAATGGCCGACAGCACTAGGTGGCTAGGTGGCTAGGTGGTGGTGGCATGCCCCAGCCACCGAAGGGGGAAACTCGTGCTGCACGTCGTCGTTGCAGTCGCTGGTCGTTGGTCATGTCGTGTTGTTCTCTGGAGGCTGCGGCCCAGACTTATATATTTCAGCCGGCCGCCCCGCAGCTCCCCCTGACCTGCCCCACCCTTAACCCACGGCGCCCCCCTCCCTCCAACGGATGGCTACCCTCCTGTGTTGCACTTTTTGTTGCCACTGATTTATCGTGATCGGCTGGATGTCGATTTTTTCGGATGCTGGTATTCTGTTCGCCGTGTTGCCTCCGCTGCTTACAACTTAGTTGCCCCTTTTTGTATCTTTTTGCCAGTTTTTGGGCTTTGCTAAAAATGTTGATTATTGCAAATTGCTTTGGCGATTGGTAGCAGCTACTTAGTTGTGTTTTGTAGCTTGTTCTCGGTCTCGGCGATTGTTTGAACAGCCAACCGATCAGCACAAAAAATGGCTTATGGTGGCGATTATGCTCACTGCTGCTTACTGCCACTCCGCAGTGAACTCCGCCGAATCGCTCCAATCTCGATCTGTGTGGCCCGTGGTGGGCCCGGAGATCCTAAGATCGGTGGCATGCCTAATTGGTTTTTATTATACAACTCGGCCGGCATACTATACAACATGTGCCCGCCCCGGTATGCAAATGGTGTCTATTGTTACGCCTACACTCGGCCCGGTAAGTCTCCAATAAAAGCCAATCTATCTATCTAGGTTTGGAACTCTTTTTTGGCTTGGAAGCAGATCAAAATATTGTTTTCATCAACAAATTTAAGATTTGAAAATTGGTGTGTCAAAGTTAACCACAAAATCTTGAAAAGGCCAGTCTGAAGCTATCTATCTTGGAAATGTATATGGGACTTTTTCCTCCACTGGCATCCACTGTTAAGGATTGCTAAGAAAATATGGGATAATCAAAGTGCAACCTTTCAATCAGAAATAAACATCAGATCAGATGCGACTATGATCAAGACTATTACTACATATATGACCCATATGACCCATAGTTAAAAATAAAATTTACGTAAAAAGGCTAGAAAAATATCAATGACTAGAAAGACAAACGATAGAAAATTCATCATAGAGATAGAATATTTTTAAGTTCAAGAATGAATGGAGGGAGACACGCATTTTTGTGAATGGAACCAGATATGATAAAGTTATGCATAGATATAGATATAATACCAAACAAACACTTGAGAAGTTGGAATAAATTTCCATTAATGGGCCCGAAATGCCCAAATTTATGATATAAACAAGGCTCCAATCCGAGAGCTATCTTCTCAGTTCCTCCCAAGACACCTGCCCCCTTCCCATTTGTCCCTAATAAGCCTCACTAATTTGTGGATTAACAATTATTAATGGTGGAAATTATGCGTCTAATCCGATGTATTTAATCGGACGCTCTGGGCGGCGAAAGGGAGACGAATATGCCGAGTCCGAATCTACACCTGAATCTGTCGTGACCACTCAGTGTCTACACCTAAGGTGGCGATCGACTGGCGCGGCTCATTAATATTAATATGGCCAGCCGTTTGGCCAAAATGTATCCACCAACTGGCGGCTTTGTATCTCGCTGTGTCCATCTAAGCTTCGTCGGAGGCCTAAGGCTGTTTGGCTTCGCATGGGCTGGTGGAAGATAAATTGCTTTTATTTATATTAGTCGGAATATAATCTTTAACGCCATTAATTTAGTTGCGCGTATTAATTGCCGATGATTTTGGCTGTCAAATCGTGTTCGGTCTCTATCGCTCTGTCTTATTAGTTTTTGTTTCTATTTGTGATTAAATTTCAAGTTTTTCAAGCCGTTTTTCATTCCTTTTCATCGGCAGTGGGTTCTTTGTTACTGCCTCTTTCGGACTTCTGACAGCAGAAGTGTGCTCTTGGTCGAGTCGGTTTCCCTTTTTCTTTGTTGGCTTTTGATTAATCTGCTCGGCGCTGAACAGAAGCCAGATCAGTTTGGTTTCTTCTCGGGGCATTCATTTATTAAAATGTTAATTAATTTGTCAGGCGCCGACAGCCATCGAACTGGCTTGACAAATCGCCCAGAAATCGGCCGTTCGCTGGGAAAATGCTGGAAGCTGCTTTCCCCAAAACACACGTGCTTTGCGATCAGTGCGAGTGAACAAAATCCCTGAAATAATAAAAACACAGCTCCCCGAAACATGTCTGACCAGGAAAGGGATGGAGGGGTCTCGGACTCGGACTCTGAGGAGACGGTTGCCCCCACGGAGAGCCTCGACAGCTCCACTGCCGCCATGCCGCTCAGTGGCATTCCCTCTATTCTGCGCTCCAGCCAGTCCAAGACTGTAGAGGTCGCCGAAGCCCCTTCGATAACCCTCACCATTCCCGATTCCGACCAATCCCCGCCTAACGAATCCCCCGAGGAGCGAGTCCGGCGCAGACTCCGCTTCCTGGAGCTGCGGCGGGAGCACTACAACCACATGTTCAGCCAAAACACCGAGGTCTGCACCATGGCGTCCTCTGAGGAGCTGGAGGACCCGCTCCGAGACGGGGATTCCATGTAACAGGACTGATGTTCAAGGAGCGGACCAACAACTCGCCAGTCGCAGAGCAACGGCACGGGGTTCAGTGTTTAAAATATTTGCATAATAATTTACAAAAATTATTAAGAATTTGTGTTTTAATTGAAGACTATCCTGTCCCAGACCTGGCTACTTCTAATAATTCATGGTTTGGAAACTATAACCCACCTGGCAAATGAACTGACGGTGACTTCGCCGTTGTGGCTGCTACTGTTGCTCCCCGGACTGAGGCGCTCCCTTTTCACGCTCAGGTGTTGCTGCTGGGAGCTGGAGTGATGGTTGCTGCTGCTGCTGTTGTTGTTGTTGATAGCATTGTTGTTGTTGTTGTTGTGAATGGTCACCATGGGCTTGGCGTCCATCATGAGGGCCTCCTTGTGGTTGTCCATCTGCGACGAGTACTTCTCGTTCTTTACCTTCTCCAGGTAGAGGGCCGCATAGGCGGCGGCCACTGTGGCAGTGTTGCTCGCCGATGCGGCGGACGTGGGAGCCGAGGAGGTGGACGTGGAGGGGGCGGCGGACATGCCCAGAGGTGTGGTGGTGGGCGTGATGGCCGTCTGACTGACCATGCCGCCCGCCCCACCGCCGGAGCTGGCTTCGCTCAGCTTCTTGGAGCTGCTCTCGATGGCTCCATAACCGCTGAGCAGGATCGACCGCTCGCTGAGCATTTTACCGGCGGACAAGGATTCGAGGTCCGTGATGTGGCTTCTGTCCTGCCCTTTTCCCTGTCCCAGTTGCCGCAGATCGCTGGCCAGGCGCTCCAGGTGCTTCCGTTTGGTGGAGGCCGCGGTCTGGTGCTCGTCGTGGGTCGCCGTCGGTTGGGCTGCACTGCGACCGCCCACAATGGCGGTGGTGGCCTTGGCTGGCTTCTGCTGCAGAATGTCGGTGGGTGCGTTACCTGGAGCGACAAAGAGAAAGCAGATGTTAGCCTAGAGTTGCACAATATAAGCTGATTTAAAAGTGCGTAGAGTTCAGAATTTATTGAAACACCACATGGTACCTCACTCCCCTTGTACTGTGCCACAACCCAGCTCGAAAAGCTCGAGTCTCCACGCCAAAGGTTAAAATATGCTAACAAATCATTGACCCGCAGTGCTGAATCTTTAAGCTAATTACCGGGGTGAGCCCGGGTCCGGGAAGTGCACATCGCACCACGTACAGTAGGGCAGGCAGCTACGCATTCCAGCTCAAAAATGTTTCAAAATGGGAAGAGTGAAGAGCCCGATACATTTGCACAAAAGTGGCTTGTTTTTCTGGCCCTCTCCAATTATTTGCCTTTGGTCAGCCATACATAATTAAGTTTTAATTCGAAATCCATGTAGCGGTGACCTGTACTTGCCCGAGGCCGAATGGAATCGTGTCTCCAAATCCCCCGCCTGTAGGTGTAAATTGACGGAAGCCCCGCCAGTCCAATGCCTACAGAGCCGGGGCTAGATCCATTCCGAGCGCCGGCTGCCAGGCGCATGTTCAGCTGCCAAAGCACACAGCATAAATAATTAAATGAAATATTTACAACCAAAATTAACAACAATTTGTAGTTTAACGCTCGTTACCTACAATCGGACCTCGAATCGACTCGAAATTGCAGGTGGTTCTGCCTGAGGCTGAAACACTGCCTCCCTGCCGGCTCGTCCCATATCGGATTTCACCCTCTGGGACTCGACCGGGCGCGTTCAGAATATGCGTATATATATGCTTTTTAATAAGTTGGTCGGGCGTTATCATAAAATTAAGTTTATCATTGGTTAGCATAGAAATTAAGTGTGTGTCTATGGAACCGAAAATAGATAAAACCAAAACCAACCGCCCCGGAGTGGTTAGACCGTGGAAGAGAGATCAATAAACCCTTCTTCTACCTCTAACAACTATTAGATTTTAGAATCTATCTCGAGCTGAAATAGAAGTATATAGTTCTTCAAAAATATGCCAAAAACTGGCCACTTCATCCCACGGTGCTGGGCCGTTTAAGTTGGTTTGTTTTTTGTCGCTCGGCCCGGTCAGCTCTCTCCCCAAAGACCTCTGATTGGCATCGCTTGGTGCCAATGGTGCTAAGTGCCGAATGTCGAATGTCGGAGCCGATGATGACGATCATGATGGGAGGCGGATACGGTAGGGCCAAGGGGTTTGTTTATAAAATAGGAAAGAGATAGCCACAGACCGTTTGAAACAGAGACGGATAGAGAGCGACCCAAGCAACATGTGCCATGCGCGACACTGTTGACTTTTTCCAGTTGGATGTGGATGTGGATGTGGTATGTCTTCTCCCCCGGCGCGGCGTGCCCATACCTGCGAGGTGGTGCGAGTGCGGAACGGGTATCTCTGTGAGTCTCTCTGTGACTGATCCGCACAGTGACAGGCCGCATTTCGGTCACCGCCGCCGGGTCGACAAGTGTCAATAGTACTAATAGACGACGCCGACATCGACATCGACATCGACAGTGGAGCTTAGGACCGAGCACGTTCACACCATTTAGTGGCATGGGAGTGCGGGCATTGGAGGACGGGAAGTTCTGAAAGTTCATTGCCATTCGGTGCAAACACAGCTGCCGACCTGTCATGTGACCATCCATTTTTCAATCATCGGCAGCAAATAAAATATAATACATACTCCGCCAGTAATAATTACTATAAATTGCCTTAGACTTTTTTGTCGTTTCTGACCCGAAACAGCTGCCCCTGATAGGTCACATGCACTGTCGACCGTCTGGAGTCTAGACTCTGGGGACCTTGGGGAAAAATACCAGAAAATGGGTGGAAAAAAATCAAGCTTAACCTCTGACGCAAGCAATCATAGATAGTTGATTTCGGCCCTCACATTTGACTTGCATGAACGAGTGTGGATAGCCAGTCCATTGTGGCTTATCAGCTGTATTTTATTATTTCTTTTGACCTCATTTGAAAACCAAATAGCTTCCCCCTTAGCCTTTATGCAAACTCTGCGTGTACCACCGCTGCCACCGCTGCCTCTGCTGCTTTGTGGCCACAAATGACTACAGGGTTCAACCTTTGTTCCCTGGTCTCGAAGAGTACACAACCCGAATGCCTGCCATACACACAAGTATCAGAAAGTCAAGAAGGTATTATTGAAGCACGCTGATAAATAGGGTCTCTGGTTCGGGTTCTGATTCTGATTCGGATTCGTATCAGGGCACTGGGAATGGGAGCGATTGGGTCTATCTTATGGCACAAGACCCTGAACCGATTGAGTTGGCCCCTTCAGTGCTTTGGCCTTTTCCAGTGCCCAGTACTTGTGCGCTGGGGAGTGCGCTGAAGAGCTTCAAGCAGGATCATAATAGTATTATTGCACAACCTTCCCATAGATAAACCCCTAAGGTATCTCTATCTGCATCGCTCTGCTCAGCGCCGGGCAGCGGGTTCGAGTTCGAGTCGGGTGTCGGTGTCGGGTTCAGTTCGGTTCAGTTTCAGTTTTCTTTTTACGTGATTTCTTGTATCTCAAGTGCTGTGCTCTGGCCGCGGCGTCTTATCGCCTTGTTTGTCCAAGTGCCAGTTGAACTATATATGTATGTTTGTAATGATCATGGTGATATACGTATTCCTATATAGGGGGCTTAGTGCGCGTATATGGCCTTCTCATGGTTCACGATGTTTTCGTCGGCGGCATGTGTGCTTTTCCCCCCTTTTGCTCTCTTTTGTTGCTCTCGATTCTTTGGGACGTTTTTCTGGGGCTCTGGGCTTTTTTTTTTGAAAATCATGTCGCATTTATTAGATCATCAAAAGGTGTTAAAGATTGTGGGGAGCGTTTCACTGATAATTTCTAGCCTGGCCTTTTGTGTGTTGGGTCTCTGTAACGTCAACTTTGTTCAATTACTGCTTTGCTTCTTTTTGGGTGAAAGTTTACTTCTATAAAAGAAAATACTTTAAAAGAGTATTTTTGTTTTTATTCTATAAGTGCTTATCTCATCACCAAACTTTTGGGATTAGCAACGATGGATCTTAACAAAACACAATTTTTGATAAGATATAAAGAATGTTATGAGAAAAAGATTATAAAATATGAGTGACTTTTGAACTGAGAGTTATGATCCTCCTTATCCCCTTGATACTATAACGACAAGGAAGTCTCCATCTTGACATTTATTTTCACTTCCCATCCAGAGTTGTAAAGCTTAAAGTGAATATTTTTAACCTTTACGGGGTGTAAAAACCAATTTCTTTTTTTAGAGAAATTAAATTAAGAGAAATAAACCTACCAAAATTTATAAACAAAATATTATTTATTTTTGATTAAGCCCTTTACATGGCACGAGCACCGATTTTAATGATTTTAGTTTTTTATAGAATAAAAAATACACCCCCTTTGACTTTTTAATTGCTTGACTTTTTAGCTTACTATTAAAAAATTAGGTTTACAATTTTGAAAGAAAAATATTGACGGACTTCCTCTAATTTTAACGAGATAAACACAAAAAACTGCTTATTTATACATTGTAATTAAAAAAAACAACGGTATTTTTACCACAACAACAAAAAAGTGAAAACTTTCGAATTGAAAATAATTAAATATTAAGTCATAGAAACAAATTGAGAACAATTAAAAAGAACATTGTGTGTTTTTATTAGAGGAGGCGAAATTAAGCCCTTGTCACGGTTTAAGGGTTAACCAGTTGTATTAACAACACACTTGTTAGTCAACACTGTTTCTCTCACAACCTGTAATTTTGATAACAGACTTCATGTAATAATTCCTAATAGTTATTGATCCAAATTTTTATGTCCCAATATGCCAATATTTCAAGTTTTATTCCTTCTGTGACATCTTTTTTTTTTAGAAAAACTGACAGCTGATATTAAAAGATGGCGAACTGAAACCAAAACGGCGACTAGCTATAAGTATTGGGAAACCGCAAAGAGCAGAGCGATCTAACGGTTTATGACACTCTTCCCCGCAGGTCCACGGCAAATTGAAATTTCAAATCAAATCAGAGCGCAGCGCAAGGCGGAAATGGCAAATGGTTTTCATCCAAGATTTTGCAACTTCATAACGGGCATATCCAACGAAATAAAAAAGGAGAAAAAAGTGGAAAAAAGTGGCCGAGAACCGAAGAAAAAAAAGTTTCATAAATTATTAACACCTCTGCCATTTGAACTGGACAAACTGGTACTCGGGCTGGGGGCCGCGGTCCGAGCGTGTGTGCCAGTCGCGCCTCTCTTTGCGCTTCTCATTGAGGTAAGCTACTGCTGCGGTCCGTGTCCGCAACCTGCATAATTGCTGTAATGGAATTTGATTCTGCCCAGCCTCTCAACGGCCTGGCTTTGGGCTCAGAGGCAAGTGTCAGAGCTGGCGGTCAAAGCATAAAGTTTAAGTAATGATGAGTAGGGGCGTGACTCACGAGTATCGTCTTAATTGTTGGAGCAAGCTGCTTCCAGAAGAAGACTTTAAGACGTTCCAGTTGAAGCTGCGACTTCTGTTCTGTCCTCAAGTCGTTGTCACATCATCAAAAATGTATTTTTTCCAAAGAATTAATTAGCATACCAAGATCGTGTCACGCTGCCATCACTAGACCCCACCTTGTCGTTTTTTGGTCCATTGCAGATGATGTACAACCACTATTAGCATTAAAGTTTATTATCGACAACGACGCTGGTTCAGAATTCCTGTAAAACAGGTGCATCGCTGCTGCACAAGCACCAGCGCAAGCACAAGCACCTCACTGGCACTCGACTGCACAGTGAGGCCAACAGAAGAGGCCTTTCAACTTTTAGCTATAGATTTCTCCACCTCAAGCCGGGCCAAGCCAACCGATCCAATCCGATCCAAGCCCATACCATGCCACACCGCACTGCACTGCCCCGTGTTGCATGCAAGGCAGGCGCTGCTGCAATGCATTTGGCCGCTAAAAGCGCCTTATTTGGTTAAATTGGTGCAGATTGCTGGCA